AATTTTTCATTGATGCTATTAGGTGGAATAAAAGTTATAAAGATTTCATGGCATTGGTTGTTTGCTCTCTTGAAAATGCAGAATGTATGTTGCATCGATGTAACCAATAAATGAGGCATTTCTTGAGATAATCGAGTCTTAAGAGTGCTATTTTTGGATTCCTCAAGTTAAAATCTATTAGAGTACCAAATTTTAGGAAATTTCCCCAAGCCATTATGAAGATACTGTATGTCAAAGTTGCTTTGTAGTCGCTTCAGAAAATCACTAAAATGCTGAGTCAGCATTATTTCAAGTGACAATATCTATGGAACCCATTGGTATTTTTAACTAAAATTTTCGCAGTTATTAACTTTTTGATATGGACTGCAAGTGGTGTAAAAATAAACAAATTCTGAGACGTAAGGGTGTCGAAAATTTTTTTTTTTGGATGATTTCATATATTTTTACCCAGATGGCACAAGAGACGCTAGCTCTTTAGAGCAGTGCTCATTATAGCATTTGTAGAAAAGAGAAAGAGAAGCAATATTACGACGATGTGATAATGATTGAAAGTTGGCTGCAAGAGCAGGTCCAACTATGTTTAGAATGCTTTTTTCACCTTGTCAAAAAGAGAAAAGGCATCATTAGAAGATCCGCCCTAGATATGGCAACAGTATTCCATACAAGGCCGGATATGAGATTTATAGAGATAGAGAATTGAGTCTAGAGTAAGAAAGTGTCGAGCTTGATAAAGAGATGCAACTTTAGCAAATGCTAATTTTGCAATGGATTTGATATATGGTTTCCAAGAAAGATCAGAAGTTAATCCTAAAAGATAGAATGTAGATGATTCATCGAGTACATCACCGTTTATAAATATAGGAAGGTCTAAATTATTGTGATAATAATTGGCTGAAAAAAATTGAGTTTTATCTGAATTAAAGTTCACCAGCCACTGTGAGCCCCATGCTGTAGCAGAAGTGAAATCTTTTTCAAGCTCAAATGCCGCCTGCAAGCAATCAGAGAGAGTTGGCTTCTTATCATGACAAGAATAAATAGTAGTATCATCAGCGAACAATGCCACCTTTGATGTAAGAATATCTGGAAGATAGTTAATGTGAATTAAAAAGAGTATAAGGCCAAGGATTGAACCTTGAGGAACCCCTGAGGTTATAGAATAAGAAGAAGAGTGCTGTCCATCAAAGACAACTTTTATACTACAAATGGAAAGGAAGGATTTAATAATCTTAAAGATGTTTCCAGATACACCGTAAGAAGAAAGCTTATGGAGAAGACCAGCATGCCAAACTTTATCAAACGCGTTAGAAATGTCAAGAGCGATGGTCTTAACCTCTCCACCTTTATCTAATGCACAATAAAACCTTTCCGTTATTACTGTTAGCAAATCAGCTGTAGAACAAGAAGATCAAAATCCATATTGATGATCAGAAAGTAAGTTATTCGATTCAAGATGAGAGATTAAGTGTTTGTTAATTAAAGATCCAAAAACCTTGCTTATGATAAGAAGAAGACTAATGGGACGGTAGTTAGACAAATTCGCTCTCCAGAATTTTTAAAAATAGGGATAACAGATGCTGCTTTCCAGCAGGCTGGAAAACAAGACTCTGATAAGCACTTGTTGAATAGTTTTGAAAGGATAGATGACAGCTCCGGAGAACACTTCTGCAAGACTATAACATGTATGTTGTCTGGGTCACAAGCTGTAGAAGAGTCTAAGCAGGAAATCACTTTAGATACAGAAGCTTGAGTGATACGAATGTCAAGCAATGGATCAACCTGTTTGACTGCTATATCAGGTAGAATGCAACTAGTGGAATCAAGAGATAGTATTGATGAAAAGTTCTTAGCAAATAATTAAGCTTTGTCTTTAGGTGAAGTGACAAATTCTGAACCATACAAAAGAGGTGGAATTACAGACTTGCCTTTATTATTGATACTATTAAAGATTCTCCAGTAGTCACAAGAGCCTAATTTTTGTGATGAAATACGAGATTTCATGACCTGAGAATAGTGGGCTTTGGCATTAGACAAAACCTTTTTACAATGGTTCCTAGCTGTAATAAACAGACGTCTGTTTTCTAGAGAATTGTTTTGCTGATAGATATGGAAGTAATGGTTTCGATTGGCAACTGCAGCAGCACAATGTGAGGAAAACCATGGAGAAGAGTGAGGCTTGACCTGGAAAAGTTGAGAGGGAATAAAGGATTCTATGCCAGCCCGAATCCACAAAGTTATGTAAGAAGCACATTTGTCAACAGGAAGTCGAAAGATTTCTACGCAAGGGCTATCACGAAAAAAGTCACGGAAAGAGTCCCAGTCAGCTTCAAGGTAGTTGTAAGATGTACGATAATAGGGGGGTTCTGATGATAAAGAAGAATGAGATAATAGTTTTAGAGAGATCAAACTGTGATCAGAGGCACCTAAGGGTGAATGTGGAAAACCTGAGTACTGACTAGGATCAGAAACAAGACATAATTCGAGTAGAGAAGGTAAATGATTCAATTTGACAGGAAAGCGAGTTGGAAAGTTGACTATTTGAGTTAGGGATTGAGATTGTGGGCTTCAATGTCTGCAGAGTCACTGACACTAGAGCCAAGCCATTCAGTGTGATGAACATTAAAGTCACAGACAACAACATCATTTGCTGATGGGTAAAGAGAGTGGTCAATATGATCAGAAGTAACATCAAGAAGAGTGCAGTCTTTAGATGAAGGAGAGCGATATAGAACAAAGAGAAAGATTATAGAGTGAAGTGGTGCTAATCGAAAGCACATAAAAGCGTAGTCTGAGGATTCAAACCTAGTTTCCCGACAATTCGGTGAATTCTTTCAAATGTAAATGCCCAGGCCAACCATGTGACTATTGGAGTCACATGGTTGGCCTGGGTCTTTACGAATTAAAGGAAGATAACCATCAACACTAAGATCATAAGATGAGACAGATGAACTCAAATTAGTCTTACAAAGAGCAAGTAGGTCTGGTGAACTTCGCAAGAGAAAAGACTTAACAAAAGAAAGGTTACTTCGATGACCACGAATATTAGTAAATGATAGGTTTAGCGAACTTCTAAAATTATTCATGAATTAAAAAATTAACTACAGTTGAATCAATGACAAAGCACCCAATTTGTTATAGGTTGGTTTAAAAAAATAAAAAATAAACACCTTTGTAAATTTCTAATTTTTGATATAAATGATTTTGAACTATCTACTAGTGAAAACACTCTTACCAATGCAATCAGTTTCACCAAACAACATGTTATTATAAACGATGACGATAAAAAAATAATATATCATGCAAGAAATTTTTTAATTTTTAAAAACGATGAAGCCTAGATAAAGAAAAGAGGTGGATTATTTGATGTCACAATGGGAGCATTTGATGGAGCTGAAGTTCGCGAACTAGTTGACATATATATTGTTTCAGCTCTTCAACATTACAATAAAAATAATTTTGACTAGTATCATGGCGACAGCCTTTCTATTTTTGAAAATAATAACGGCCAACAAATGGAGTAAATCAAAAAGCATATTACGCATATTTTTAAAAGTAACAATCTACTTATCTCCATCCAACGTAATATTAAAATTGTCAATTATCTTGATGTAAACTTAAACTTGATTAACAGTTCTTATCAACCATATTGTAAACCTACTAACCAAAATATGTATGTTCATTCTGATTCAAACCATCCACCTAGTATAATAAAAGAAATCCCTCCCACTATTGAATTAAGATTATCAACTATGGCAGTAAATGAAAGCTGTGTTTAATTATTACATTTTTCCGTATTAAAAGGCTTTATGTAAATCAGGATACAATTCGAAGCTTACCTACCAACAGCAAATAAACAAAAAAAAAAAAAAAATGTTGCAAACATAAAATTATAAAGTACAACCCCCCATTTAGCAAAAATGTTCAAACTAAAATTCAAAATTGCTTCTTAGCTTTAATTGACCTACACTTTCCAGTAGGACACAGGCTTCATAAAGTTTTTGATTGAAACTACATAAAAATTAGCTATAGCTGTATGTCTAATGTCAAGTCTTTAATAAATGCACATAGCAACAAGATTTTACAATGTGATAAAAATATAATATCGAAACAATGCAGTTGCATAGACAAAAAAATTTGTCTATTAAATAACCAATGCCTTTCTAACAATATTGTATACCAAGCCACTGTAAGTTCTAAAGATCCTGAATTCAAAGGTAAAGTTTATTTCGGTATAAGTAAAACCACATTTAAATAAGGATATACCAACCAGCTCTTTCAATACATCCAAATATAAAAATGACACTGAACTTTTTAAACAAATATGGAGACTAAAATCTAAAAATATAAAACCTGTGATTACATGGAAGATAATTGTTTGATATAAGCTCTATAATCAAGCATCAAAAGTTTGTAATTTTTGTCTCCACAAGAAATTTTATGTATTATCATACAGAGGAGAAAATTTACTTAATAAATAAAAGATATGAAATAATATCAAAGCGCCGGCATTCAAAGAAATTTTTACTTTTTTTATTCGACACTGAGGACTAAAATCTTTGACGTCTTTTTTGTTTTGTTTTGTTATTCTAATGTCAGAACTTGTTCCACCGTAATTTTAATTTGTAATTTTTAAACAGTTTTTACATTATGAATTATACACAATGGCTGATGATTGCCGAAAGGCATGAAACTCAGAGTTCCATCAAAAGTTGTTTTTATTCATTTCATATATATATATATATATATATATATATATATATATATATATATATATATATATATATATATATATATATATATATATATATATATATATATATATACACACACACAAATTCTACATGCTCACCCAAATCTAAACTTTTATTATAAAACAGGACTAAATATTTGTATAAGACTATCACTGGGAAGTCCATCCAAGGTTTACATACATACTTTTATTCTACATATATCTAATTTTTAGTTAACAAATTAAAATATTGATTTTAAATAACATTGTTTAGATTTAATGCAGATAACAAAGGATGAGTTTCCAACACCTTCAACTAGTCTGGCTGGTTTATGTAAACTTAAACCAGCCTTTTTAAATGATGGTAGTGGGACAGTTACTGCTGGTAATTCTTCTGGTATCAATGATGGAGCTGCTATGATGCTTATATGCAGTATGGAGAAAACAAAGGAGTTGAAAGTATGTGCACCATTGGCTAGAATTGTAGCTTGGGCTCAAACTGGTGTTGAGCCATCTATTATGGGTATTGCTCCAGTTTTTGCTGTACAAAAAGCGGTATATGTCATTTTTAATAGTTTGTATAAAATAATTTGTTTTTTTCATTTACTGACCACTCTGACCTATCTTAACCTGAATATTGGTATGATAACCAAAACGCCATTTATCTGGGAATCAATTATTAAAATTATTTAAAAATTAATATATTTGTAATAGTTATTACATATATATAAATTTTTACCTGTTGTTGAATGATTTCAATAAAAATATTTTAACCGAGGATCAAAATTGCTGTTTTGAACTCCCAAAATGAGTCCTTGCTGATAAAGATTGACAAGTTTAAAAAATCTGAACTTTTAAAATATTAGTTTTTACTAACAACCTGGATGTATTTCAAAAATTTTAAAAATTCATAGCATCTAAAATTTTTTTTTTCAACATCTTCACTTCCAACAAGGCTGCAAGCAACCACTATTAGAGTTGGAAATTACTGAAAAAGAAAAGATGAAGTTTATAGATCAAGATAACGATTGACAGACGACTTAAAAAATTACAAATTATATGAATCAGGAAAGCAAGATGAAGGATAACTAATTCCAAAGAACTGATGTTCGAGGAAAAAAACTAGACGAATAAGAGTTTTTGGAGCACTTAGGAGCAGTCACAGTAAAAGGACTTAATTGAATGATGAGTAACACAAGAATGAATTTTGGTAGATGGCACAAGAGGGATAACAGATGCCACTTTCCAGCAGGCTAGAAAACAAGGCTCTGATAAGCACTTGTTAAATAGTTTTGAAAGTATTGATGACACTTCTGCAAGACTATAACGGGTATGTTATCTGGACCACAAGCTGTAGAAGAGTCTAAGCAGGAAATCACTTTAGATACAGAAGCTGGAGTGATACTGATGTTAAGCAATTAATCAACTTGTTTGTCGGCTTGATGAAAAGTTCATATCAAATAATTCAGATTTGCCTTTAGCTAAAGTGACAAAGTCTGAACCATACAAGAGAGGTGGAATAAAAGATTTTTCCTTTTTATTGATACTGTTAAAGGTTTTCTACAAGTCAAGAAAGTCATGTTTTGAGATGAAATAGGAGATTTTGTGACATCATTGGAAGTACATTGTAACACTTTAGTAACAAGTTTCGTATGAATCGTCATAAAATCACAAATAACCCTCCCCCACTAGAGCCTGACAATTTATGGACAACTTTTTATTTAAATTTTTTTTTGCTCTTAAAATTAACTACTGTGCTTGATTAAACTTCATATCATCACATGATAAAAATTCATCCTATCTACAGCTCCACTTAATCCTTGAAATATCAAACATTCGAACTTAGTAATAAAATTTAAAAATTAAGACTGTCTTCAGGCATTGTAAAGTATTACAGGGACAAGAGCATTACAGAAGCATTACAAACACAAATAACAAAAATCTTTTTAAATTAAATATTTCTTATTTTTACTTATTAATTTTATAAAATTTTAATTATTCTATATAAAAATGTAAACAAGTATGTTAAAAGTACAAAAATATTAAACATCTATAAATCCTTTGATATTATCAAACCCTCATTTTTAATCATCAATATTATATATCATCAATATGGATGTCAATAAATATATCATTATATATCATTAGTATAAATTTATATGTCCAGCATAATTATATGTCCAGGCTAAGCTAAACAATATGTCCAGGATAAGCATGTCAGTATTGGAATCTTTATGAATCAAGATATCCATCAATTAGGTGGTGGTGCTCTGCTCAAAATCAGAATTTTTATCTAGACACAATCTCTTTCATTTTCTCAATCTAGAGCTTCTAAGCAGGAGTAATTTAGTCATAGTGCCTTGATATCACATCCATATGGATGTGATATCATCCATATTCATATGGATGTGATATCATCCATATTCATATGGATGTGATATCAAGGCACTATGACTAAATTACTCCATATCACATTCATACTAATTTAAACCACCTGCCCAAAGCAATAGGAATAGGTATAAGTTATTGGGTAAGCTTAAGTATCGATGGCGTTATATACATATATGGCGTATATAATATATAATATATACAGGATAAACTATTTATTAGTGTCAATTTTCTTCAAAACGCCAGTAATAATAGGTGCGACTCTGAGGAGAAATTTATTATCTGAAAGAGAAATTTATTATCAATAAATTCTACATGGTTATAAGCAAAACACCATTAGATATAAAATTAGATATGCCACCATATAAACAGATTAGTATTCTTAAGTAAAAAAATGGCACGAAACTATCAAACGAAATTTTGGAAACTAAAAGATGCAAATTTAGATTTACTCGTTAAGTGGAAACTAATCAATGAATGGAATGGAAATTAAGCAATGCTTATAACCACAAAATCCTGTAAATATGCATAAATAAAAAGTATGAAATTTTATTCTTCAAAAATCCAAAGTTGTTAATTAAAAAAAATTTAGGCATAGAAACAAGTTTCTTCTAGCCCAATACGACACAAGTGATTAACCAGTTAACTAAATAAATTTTTTTTTAAATGTCAGAACTTATTCTGATATTGTATTTTGTATTTTTAAACAGTTTTTTCTTGATTTAAAGAACAAGTATGGCTGATGATTGCCAATAGGTATTCAAGTTCCATCAGAATGTTGTATTTTTTCATAAATTATGATAATATATATACATATTATTAAATTACGTGAAATACACATACAAACACACACGTATATATGTAGGGGAGACTGGGGTTTGTTGGAACACGGGGTTAGTTGAAATATTAAACTCTTGCGCCGGCTAATGAGCAGTTTATTATTACAAACAGGTAACAAAGGTTTTAAGAACTAAAATACATTCTTTCTTTTTTTTTGATAAAATAAATTGTGAAAACTTTGTTGTTGCTCAAGATTTTAGAGAATTGAACGCATGAAAGTTTTAACTGTCTAGTTAACTCATGCTATCACATGTTGTGTGATAGCAAGAGTTAAATAGACAGATAAGACAGTTAAATAGACAAATATGACAGTGGCTTATTCTATATTATTTTGAACACAAGCTGTTGATTGCGGCTTTTTAATATCAATTAAATTCTTAAAAATTATGGTTTGTTGCCTAAGTCTTAATTATTTTTAAATATATGGTTCTAATTTTTCTTGAAAACTATTTGCGGTCACAACTAATTGAAATTTTGTAAAACTGCAGTAGTGAAAGAGTTATTGGCATTATTAAATTATTTTCAGAATGCGCAATTATAAAAAAAAAGATACCAGCACAAGATACAATATCAAGCGATACAATGCTTGCTGTTGTCAAAAGAGTATTTGAAAATGGAGAAATATGCTGAGGAGTTGCAGCAGACTATAGCATTCTTTATGTGACACTCAGAAGATAATGCATCAAAGTCAAAACGATGCCAAGCACCTTGACCAGTTTAACTGTAGGTTACCACAGTTAAACTGGTCAGGGTACTTGGCATAAGATGTGCTTTATGTGCCTGCTAACAAGGTGTTTTACAAAAACAAAAATGCTTTTACTATGGAAGAAGAGAGTGCGTTTATGAAGTACATATTAGAGGCTTCACGTGTAAACTATGGCCTCAATTTTGTATAAGTGCAAAAGTTTGTTTACAATTAGGGGCCATCCATTTATTATGTATGCATGGGGAAAAAATGAGGTGCAGAATGGTTTTCTTCATTTCTAAAAAGAAAACCAGAGCTTGCAATTAGAATGCCCGAAGGTACATTGCTGAGTCTTACCACCAGCTTTGAATCTGAATTCAGTACTAACAAAACACACCTTTACTGCAACAGATATTTGGAATGTGGATGAGACAAATTGTACAACTACACAAAAGCCTCAAGAGATTGTTGCTCGAAATGTACTGAAGCAAATTGGATTTGTCATGTCAGCCAAGAGAGGAAAATTAGTGACAGTGTGTGCGCCTCTGGGAATACTATTCTACCAATGCTTATTTTTTCTAGAGTGAATTTTTGGCACCATTTTGTTTGTGATTGTTCTTGACAATCATGAATCGTACATTAACCTAAAGGTTTTGGGTTTTGCAAAAGCCAATGGAGTTGTAATGTTGCCATTAGACAGATCTGTCTACTTTCCTTTTAAAAAAATTTTCAACACTGCATGTGACACATGAATGAATGCAGATAAAGGCAAAACAATGACTTTTTATGACATTCTGAACTATGTTATTGCTGCCTTGGCTACTGGTATTATTCCTGCCTTGGATACTGGTAGTAATTATAATAATAATAACAATATTTGTGAATTTTTATATTTACTTTTATTTTAAAGTTTTGCCTTTATTTAGGTGCAGAACCAGATATAATTGAGCATATTGGACCATTAACTCCAGGACTTATCAAATGAAAATATCAAAGCTTACTAGCAGGTGTAGCAAAATTCCCACAAGAAATTTTGGAAGAATTCGAAAGCGTTCGCCCAATATTGAAGGTTTGACACTACGAGTTTCAAAAACATTTGCTCAAAAAAAAGAAGGACTTACACTTTAACCTTTTCTGTTTAAATCCATAGCACTTTGCAACTTCATCAACAACTCAATAATAAGTTCCGCATGATTTATTATCATCATCGCTATCAAGTTTGCAATTCTTTAGAAAAATTTTTTAAAGAAAAATACATTCGAAGAAATGATACTCACATACACATAATAAAATATGACTAAACAATAAAAAACTATTTTACTCAATAAATTTAATTTATTCAATATAAACATACCATTTTTTATCAGATATTTTATTTTATTACAAAAAAAATAGTTGGTGGGACATCAACAAAAACAAGGTTTTTTTCATTTACAACTCATTTTTTTGCAGCAAAGGAAATTGTTCTACACTCTTCATTACTGAACCATTTCCTATACTAGCCAGTTCTTCTCTTCTGCTTGAGTGAGACAATGTTTTTTTGTTTTTTTAATTAAGGCATAATCCTGTTTCTGTTTTTCTATTTTTTTTTTTTTTACTTTTCAATGATAATCTTTTTGTAGTCAACTCTTGAACTCTTTAGTTTCTACATTCATTGCAGATTTCACATGACTTAGCCAAACATAACAGCTGTATAGCTTGTAAACTACTTCTGTATGTTGGTGGAATATTTAGCTACATCCAATAAAAAGCTGTTATTTTTTTTTTGTGACTTCTAATAAGATTGACAACTTCAAAATCATCAGTAAACAAGGCAAACAATAAACTATCTGGATGTAGTTGCAAAAACTCATGGTCTCTGGCGTATGACCCATGAATAACATCAGTCATAGTAACTCCTTAATGTAACTTTCTGTTATTTTTATCAAATATTCATTCCATTTCTGGCAATTTTAAAAGCATTTGTAAATGATTTATAAAAGGCACAAAATATCCAAGAGCTTTTTCTCAGTCACCAAATTTTCAGATTAAGGTCTAATATAGCCAAATTTTTTTAGCAAAAAATGCTTCTTGCAAGTAAGTTGTATGCAAGTCATCAAAAACTTTGGCATTAAATCAACTTTGTAGTTCGTCACTTAGTTCACCATTTTCTGTTTCCTACTTTTGCTTTATGTTTAAAATTTTATGATGCCACAGTTCATTTGTTAGCATAACAATTTCATTAAGGACTGATGATGTCAACCTGTGATGATATTTTAATTTAACCAGCATGGCACCATCGAATTTTCTTTCGTCCAATAGTTTATCCCCACAATCATTTTGATAATATTTGGAGAACAGAAACTTTTAATATCAATTTTTTCATTTCAAATATTTTTGGAGAGCAAAAACTTTCAATATTCAATTTCTTTCGCAGTGACTTTTAAAAGAAAAACAATTTTTAAAACAAATCACCACACCCAACAACATTACAATATAATTGAAAATCTCGATGACGCCTTATCACATGTGTAAATAACTGCTGATGTGTGTTGGCAAAATAAGGGCACATTTTGCAATAATGTATCATTATTATTTTAATAAAAACTGAAATAGTTAAAAATAAAGTTCACTTAAATCTATAAATACCATAAAAAAATCCATAAATCCATAAAAATCCATAATACCATAAAAATACCATAAAAAATCTGAATAACAGCTTCAGAAAAATCATAGTGTTGAAGCCACAATTTTACATCATCCATCTATACTATACAAAATTAAATTAACCAATATAAAAAATAATAATTTAGCTATAAAAATTCAAGACATATATCTCTTATTATATAGTTTCCCCGCCGTAAAAAATACACGTGCAGGTGACACTATGCACTAGGGGTCGTTCGCAAATAACGTCACGCTTTTAAGGGGGGGGGGGGGAGGTCAAAGATTTTGTGTCAAGCTGTGACAAGAAGCATAACTTATAATATATATATACACATATATATATATATATATATATATATATATATATATATATATATATATATACATATATATATATATATACTATATATATATATATATATATATATATATATATATATATATATATATATATATATATATATATATATATATATATATATATATATATATATATATATATATATATATATATATATATATATATATATATATATATATGTGACAAGGAGGAGGGGGGGGATAAAAAGTTGTATATATATATATATATATACAACTATATATATATATATATATATATATATATATATATATATATATATATATATATATATATATATATATATATATATATATATATATATATATATATATATATATATATATACACATATACATATATATATATATATATATATATATATATATATATATATATATATATATATATATATATATATATATATTTATTTTAAATTATTGTTATTAAATAATGGAGAGTAAAAATTAACTATATCGCAGCTTCAAAATGCTTGTTGGACTCTTGAAGAGGTGGATTTATTCGAGTTAAATGAAGCATTTGCTGCTCAATCAATCGCTGTAATTCGAGAGTTAGGCATCCCAATGCATAAGGTATGATTTTTTGAATAACAGCTAACAAAATTAAGTTATTTTATAAGGTTTTGTTTATATTTTCACAAGTCATTAGTGTTGTTATCGACTTCGACTAGTCGAAATTAATCGAGTTTGAAAAATCGAATAGTCGATTTAATCGACTATAGACTTTCTACTAATCGACTAACTAAAAATCGATTTTGTCGAGTAAAAATCATAAACTCCTCATTTTATTCGATTTAACTTTTTAATTTTTGTTCATTTAATAACAATAGTATGCGCTATTATAACCAGGGGTGTGGAATCGTAAAAAAAAAGTAACGACTCCGACTCTGACTCCAGTTGTTAAAATTTTTGGGGTACAACTCCGGCTCCAACTCCGATTCCAACTCTAAAGCAAAATTTTTGAAAAATTCTTTGAATTCTTTTGAAAATATTACGCGATAAGTTAAACATTTTTTTTTTGAAAAAATTATGAAACGTTCTTTGATGTTTAGTATCAACATAAGGTTAATTGAATGTTTTGTACATGCACGTGCAATACTGAGAATTTTTACTATTGGAGTCGGAGTCGCGATTTTGTTTAGCGACTCCGACTACGTTAAAATTGTTGCAACTCCGCAACTCCGACTCCACAGCCCTGATTATAACATTTACTTTGTTTTTTGTTCAATCCCTTAAAATTTTATCTAACTTATACCATGTTAGCATTATTTATACCTAATTAAACTTTCGATTATGTATTTCATTAATTTTTTTTTTCATTTGTTTACTTGATACTTGTGATTTTCATAAATGCTTTCATACAGGGCTGCTCCAAGCTGGCTAAGGGCACTGGGGCAAATTTAAGTTGTGAAGCTCCAAAATCCTAATGTCATTAATCTTATACAATCGTATTGTAAATATGATTGTAATGACTTTTTGATTTATAGCAAGTATTTAAGGCGGTCCCTAAATCATTGATTTGGCAATAGATTGTCGCGTTGTAAGAGCGGCTTTTCTCTCATTTTGTTTTGCTCTATTGTTATTTAAATGATATTAAAATATAAAGTGAGTATAAATTACTTTATTATTTTTATTACAATCTATTTAAAAAATAAATTATTCCCATATTTCGACTAAATCAACTTTTAATCAACTTATTTAATATAGTCGAATTGTTTAATAGTCGTAACAACACTAAAAATCATATCTTACGTTATAAAAAATTTGTCTTAACATTGCGACTGTAACATTTTATGGTTTAAGGTTAATGTTTGCGGTGGAGCAATAGGTATTGGTCATCCAATAGGTGCTTCTGGTGCAAGAATATTAGTTACATTATTACATTCAATGGTGCGATTAAAGAAACAAAAAGGTGTGGTCTCTTTATGCATCGGTGGAGGAATGGGAATAGCCATGTGCGTTGAAAGACTTATACACTAATTCCTTTTTGTATTTCTGAGTTTTTTTGAATTTTTAAGACTTCAACATGTATAAGATTCTCTCTATTCTCATGATTGACAATTTGATAATTCGCATATTTTTAAAATCACAGTAAGTAAATCATATTTTTAAAATCACAGTAAGTAAATCATATTTTTAAAATCACAGTGAGTAAATCATAATTTTAAAATCACAGTGAGTAAAAATAAACTAAAGAGTAAAGTATACTTTCGGTTTTTAATTTGGTTTTTTTAAATGGTATGTTTTAAAAAAAATCTGCAAAGGTTTTAGCTGCTTTACTTTTGTAAAAATGTGGTCAGTTCAAGAACGATAGCTTAAACTAAATATTGTTTTTTTTAGTTTCGGTTACTAAAATTTTCACGGTAAAGAGCAATGTATTTAAAAAACAGATAATTTTCAAGAAAAAAAAAAATACTGAATACCATATATACCATTCCTTTTCACAATTTGCTTTGTATAATAGTGCGATGATGATGTTTTTTTTGTGAAATGACAAATAAATACTATTTAAATATTTGTCACTCAGTCATTGCGGTATTTTAAAATCAGAACATTTTTAGTCAATTCGCTTATTTTACATTCTCATACTTTAAGAACTGTCAGCGGTAAAACAGTCAGTGACAAGTTTGGGGTCTTTCATAAAATCAAAAGTTAATCGTCAATAGTTTTCTTAAAAACAAATAAGTTTTAAAAAAATAGCAAAAGTTCTCATATTACCCAGACCACTTAATATTATTAGTACTTTAAATTACCTCAAAAAATAAAACATTAATTAAAAAAATACCAAGCTGATAGAACTAATTTGTGGAATATAATGATTCGTTATTAACAAAACTAATTAAAAAATCAAACTTAATATTAAGTCACTTTTTATTGGCTATTTTGCTTAGCGATAAAAAAAAAACTAATTCGTTTTTTTTTTTTCAATTTTAACTCAAACTTTTTAACAATAAAAATACAATTTTTTTGAATTTAACTTACAGAAAGATATTTAATATAGTTAAAATATAAAAATTTGTACTATTTTTTGCTGTTATTCAAAAATCAGATTAAAACCACTACAATTTTAAAACTTTAAGCTAATTATATTAATTTAATTTCGGGTAATATTAATTAATTATATTAGTATATAATTTGGGTAATATTAATTATTGCTTTGTTCTTTTAAGTACATTGAACACTCTATTTACGTAAAACAAATTTAAAATTATTCCTAAGTATATATATATATATATATATATATATATATATATATATATATATATATATATATATATATATATATATATATATATATATATATATATATATATATATATATATATATATATATATATATATATGTATATATATATATATATATATATATATATATATATATATATATGTATATATAGGGGAAAGCGGGGCAACATGGCAAACGTTTTGAAAGCCCTGAGTTATTGCAAAACTCTTAGCCGTGAAGCAATAATACTCTCTCAGTATGTTTATGTTGTTAAAATCCTTCATTGCCTGCATGAATTTTCAGTTTGCAAATATAACAATTTGAAATAAATATTAAAATAAAAAGTTCATAAATTTGTCATTTGGTCACGTGACCGGGGCAAGATAACTTATTATGCAATTTTTACCTCCAATGTTATAAAATTTTAAAAACTACCAATAACTCTAACTAAAGCAATACAAAATAAACACAAATCGCATAAAACTATTTCTAAAGAAGTTAAACTTGAAGGACACCATCCATTATGAGAAACCGAAAGTGAGGAATTTTTTTTTAAGCGCAAAAAGTAAACTTATGCGTATAAATTTTCGTTGATAATATTTCAAAAAAATACTTGGTGTTTTAAAATACAAAATGCAAATATAGTTTCGTTTTCAACCAATTTTAAGATTTTTTGTTGAGTTGTTATATGAAAACCCATCTTGCCCCATTCGCCATGTTGCCCCTCTTTCCCCTATATACACGAAAGTTTCCGCAACATGTGTTCCGCAAACACATGATTGTTGCAGATTATATATCGATCATAAACTAGATTAGAGTTTTACATTTTCATTTCATACGTAAACACGTTTTTATTTATGGAATGAAAATGTAAAACTCTAATCTAGTTTATGATCGATATATAAACTGCCACAATCATGTGTACACTATCACCACATATGTGTACACTATCATCACAATGTGGTAACATGGTATGGTCACATATACGATGACATGGCATGGACATGGCACTATCACCACATATGTGGTGACAAGGTATGGTGCATATGTACCATACCTTTCTAGTTTGGAAAATTATATTACATATAATTATGTAGACCACTTTTTAGGGTCCATATAAAAGAAAATATTTAATTTTTATATGGGCCACATATACCTTTCTTTTCAAGTTGGCTTTTTATTGCTATGCATCTTGAATAAAGTGTTTGGTATAATTAACAATATAATTTAGTCTGACCGATGCGTTGTTGTACATATCTTCATCATTCGGCTTTTCTTGCATCTAGTACTATTTGGATAAATTTAAAAAATCTAAACAATAAGAACATACTTTGTCATCTATTGTTTCCAATAATGCAAAAGTTGTTGAATGTAATATGCATTTATATATATTTTTTAATATCCGTACATCGTACATTTGTATAATAGATCTTTCGCCTATCTCCATTCAATCTTAAAATCTTTTACTTAGTGAAAAAAATAAATAAATAAAAACTCAAATAAAAATAGGAGCTACTGCCGCAAATAGACAATTTGGTTAGTAACTTTTTGCCCCCGGTTATTTTGGTGCCTTTCTCCAATACACTATGACAGTTGTCGTTTACTAAAAGATTAATTTAAAAAATGATAAGCTTGATTTATTAAAAAACTTTTGAAAAGTCCTTCAAAAAAACCTTAATCGTGTTTATATTGATATTCTTTGAATGCTGTCATGCAATAGAGCAGGGTTACCATCTGGTGTTATTTAAAGCCAGATTTCTCAAATCTGGTTTGTTTTTTTATCGTTTGGCTTGGAACTTCTGTTTTGGTTTATTTTAAAAAATCTGGTTTATTTTAAAGTCTTTGGTCTTTTTTTGTTTTTTCTAGTATGTTTTTTAAAATCTGGTTTATTTAATAATAAATCAAGTTTTTATTTCATGAAAAAAGTTAATTTGAGGGAAAGAAAGATTTCCATTTTTTCATTTTATAGAAGAACAATCAAGTTTAAAGTAAATGAAAGAAATGCTTACATCAAAATGTTGTAATGCCAACAGTAGAAAACTCTTACATCCAAAATGACATTTATTGAGAAAAATCTGCCTGTAATGAATTAGCGAGTCTAAAAACTTTTAAGAAAAATGAGTTTTTAGAAACACCGCTGAATTTTAAACTGCTTCGTGAGACCATTTAGAAGTTTCCGGAGACCTAGACCTCTGCAACATAGATGCCTACTGCCTTGGCTGTCTATGTGTTCCGTTTCTAAATATTGTGTTGAGTCTTCTCACAGGTCATCTGCATAAAAATAAGACTAAGAAAATATGAAACCATGTCTTGCATGCAGTCATTTGGACTAAATCATATTTAATAAGGCGAAAGATTTTTTACCACGACTTTAAAATAATTGAGTCAATTATCGCAAAGGTTGGAAAAAAAAAATCTTTATCCATATACAAGCGAAAATTTATGTATATATTTTAGAGGTTGAAGTGTCGGACTTAGTATAGGTGTTTGGGAGTGAACTACTTTCCTCACGCCGCTTTTAAGGCTGGACTAGCACCCCATTAAACATTCATTAACTCGTTCTTCTTCTTATCCCTCACTCTCTTACTAATTAAATTTTTATATTCAAGGATGAATTTTTGGATAAAAAAGCATTTTTTTCAAAATATAAATTAAAAATTTTTTTTAGTCTGGTTTATTTTTGTTTCGTTTTTGGCTTATGCCCGAAAAAAAACCTGGCAACCCCGTAATAGAGTGACAAAAAAATTATGTGGAATCACTTAAACTCATGTAATTTTTTAAGAAATTGTCAAATTGAAGCTGACTGTTTTGGAAAATTGTTTTTCAAAAGATCATTTTTTTAGGTCTTTAAAATAATAAATTTTGCTTAATAAATATAAAACTTATGTCAATAACTTTAAGGTGGTAGACTACTAAAAAAAATTTTTTTAAATCTGACATTATTCCAATTGATTTTCTCATTTTAAACACGATAAATAGGATTAAAAAAAAAAATTTTTTTTTTTTATCTATCTAATTTTTGGGCAAATTTAAGTGTTTTTAGGCCTAAAAAGTGCAAAGTTCTTGGAAAAGATATCTCTAAAAGTAAAATAACTCAAGTCTCAAAATTTTACAGTTGTGTACCTTTTAAGTAGATAAACGTCCTGAGATAAACAATTTTTTTCAATTTTAATGCACCATAAGCTTTTTCTATGCGTCTAAATTTAGGCCAAAATCCTGACCCCAAAACAGCCCAAAAAATTTAATTTTAATTTTTATCCAAAATTTAAATTAAATTTTGGATAAAAATGAACATCTGTAAAAAATTTCAAGTCAATTGGACAAATACAGCTCCCGCAATCTTATCCAGAATATGAAAAACTTTACAACAGAGAAAAATGCAAATAAAACTTTATATTTTGAATATACAAATATATTAACACTTGAAAACAGGTTAACCCCCCCCCCCCTTTCATATAATGTTCCCTCTTCATCATTGTGCTTATCATCTCTTCATCATTGTGCTTATCATCTCTTCATCATTGTGCTTATCATCAAACCCCTTCCTTGTTGCTCTAAGCTTTTTTCTTTGTTTTTTAAACTTTTCAGATGATTTTGTGTCCATAAGAAAACCGTTTTTAGTAAAATGTCCTGGTAAAATTCCTAAACTGTAAAGAACATCTATCATACCAGTTTTACCATCATTAAACTGTATGACAGCAGATGCAACACTAATTTCAAGTGTTGACCTACCCACGTACGCATTTTGTCCAAATTACATTATTGAGCGATTCATTTGCATTCTGTGTTTCTCCATCAAGACATTTGTGTGAAAAAATAGGTTTTATAATTTCACAAACAGCTTCTGGAATGTTTATACTGTTTTTATAAGTCAAAGTTTGATTAATCTTGTCCCTTTGATATTTACACCACGAATCGCTAGTACGAGGACAATACTTATGGCGTTCTTCATCGCTGCTGCTTTCAGAACATTGATGAATTAGTCCTGCTATGGATTTTTTCATGCCATACAAATTCCCTTTGTTTTGTTGTATACTCATACCATAATAGTTTTGCAATGTATTAATGACTTTATCTGTCATCCTTCCTTTTCCAGTAA